TTCATGTGTATAACTTTATAACACATGTAACACATTTAAAGAATTACCGAATACATACACATATAAAAAATATATTAATAAACACATGAAAATGCACGGTATATAAGATTATAAATTAAATTTCATTCTAAAGTTTTATAGATGACCCCAAGTGAATATCTCGACAGACTTTTCTTCCGATTTGCGCTTATCGCTCGTTTTCTTTCGATCGAACCGTCGATGAATTTAACGAATCTTCGGGAGGAAATTCCGGCGCATTCGGAGGTTTACATAATTAAACGTGCGTCAATTGCGCGCGTCGTTGGAAGCCGCTGCGAGGCGTCGAACGCGCGCTCCGCAAAGTTTTAATTTGCGCCAACAAAATCCGCTGAGCCCGCAGCGTTGCGCGTCGCGCACGTTCGTCGGTGTGCGGAGAAGAAAGTCGGCACCGCCGAAGGAATGCGGTGATTATCCCCGCGTAATAGTCCGCGTGATAAATGCGCGCGCGCGCGCGCACACACACACACGGCCGTTCATTTTTTTTTTATCGGATGAACGTGCCGCGGCAGCTGTGCGATAAACGTCGTGCGCCATCGTCGTGCATCCTCACGGCCGCGTTCTATCGTTCGCGTGTATAACACACGCGCGTATGTACGAAGCGACATATATACGAAGGGACCCCGATCCGTTCCCAACTGCGGGTAGTGTTGCGCATATACTGTCCCCGTGGGAAGCCTTGTCCTCCTCTTCCTCCTCCTTGCCCCCTCCCCCCCCCCGAATCCCGTCTCGCGCATACCCCGTTGTAACTTCCAGCATTCCAACCGGTACACATCTCCACGTCGGGCAAGGCGCTGGGCGATTAATTGAGATGACATAGCCGCTTATTAGCATGGCGTTGCAATATGCAGTCGCTTCTATCCGCATGGCGCAAGTCAATATCCTCCTTTCGTGTCTAGTTACAAATCCAATTTTGAGATGGATATAACAATAAGATAACAATAAGACAATATTGTCCTGCGGTCAATTTACCGTTTCCTCGTCTGTGCCTTCGATCGCGAAGAAGAAAAAGAGGCCAATTTCGGTGAAAGCGTCTACGTTAAGCTCGAACAATTGTCGATCGTTTTATGTAATTAAACGCGAGTAGCTATACAGTTGTTTCATTTGGCGCAAGGCAGTAGCTCGGAATGCAAATTCTGCGAAACGTAACGAAAAAGCTAAAGTAACGTAAAAGATATTATTTTTTCTTCTACGATTAAAACATTTATTCATTAATCTTCCGCGTGAACAACGATATCCCTTTTCCTTCTTTTTCCGATATATATTCTTTACTTATAAAGCGTCAGAAAAGTCTTGTTATTAATTAACACGTGATAAAAGAAATTGCTATCTCTTGATGAAGATATTCCAGCTGAGCTAAAACGGTAGAAAAAGAGTCCTTCACCTTTCAACTGATTTTCTTGAAATTTATTCTTAGAAGAAATACATATCACGCTACTAAATTTATCGAGTAAATGCGAACATCTGTGTAATTTTACATCGCGTGAAAGATTAATACAGGGACAAGATATAATCATCCGCTAATAATTTTAGGTAAAATTCATATCTTTCTATAAATGTCCGAGGTATATATGTGTTCTCCTTGGTATAAAGTTTAATTTGATGACCGTTATGGCATAACTGTTATTGAATTACTCTCGTAGCTTGCAATTAGAATAATCAATGTAATTCTCGTCCAGGGAATAGAGGGACAAATGTCATACCTAAATTCAGACACGCCATATATCCAGTTTCCAAGAGAAATGATTAACGAAATAATTACGTGAGAGTGTCTCACGCGAATGGATACAAGGCTATTGCCACACACTTATCTATCCTACTCTTTTCCAATTCAACCTTGAAACAATCCGTAAATATTCATGAAGAAAATTTATTCTTTTTTTCCGAGACCAATATTAAGAAACAAAAAGATATAAAATTTCTAATTAAATCACGAAGTCTAAATTCTTAACTTTGTTATAATCCTTTTTATAATCCTATATATAAAGCATTTTTCGCGTTAATCTTAAAAGATCAACGCGATAATTAGTTCATGAAACGGCGCGGTTGAGTCAGTTAATCATCACACGGATTTTCGACGAAAGATAATAAACCCGATTTATTGTCGCAAGTGCGACGTTCTTTATCGACGCTTATCTGCCGCTCGAATACAGGGAAAGTTAACCGCGATAACCCGGACCCAGGAGGACGAGAGAGAAACGCGCGCGCTGTGTGTACATAACGCATACGGACGCGCAACGCGTTCGTTAAACATGCACGCGGCCGCAGGTGTACGTGCGTGTCCGCGCGCGATCGTAAATGTCACAGATTCCGCGTGTCCGCGCTAAAACGTATTAATTTTAGCGCTGCTCCCCGCGCTCTCCGCGCTTGTCGCCCCCCGCGCGCAGTGACAAGCCGCTAATTCATCACCGCGCAGTCCTTCGCCAGGTGATTCGTTATGACCGGGGGGGGAGGGGGGATGGATGGGGTAAAATCTCACTCGAGCGATCGAGATCCGTTATCGGGAGAGACAGCGAAGTGCGCGCGGCTGCACTGATTCACGCGTGGCGCGGCGCGGCGGCGCGGCTGAGTGCTGTCACTTCCGACTATTTTTCACAGAGTTACGAATCGACGTCGGGGCCTCTTGACGCGTGACGGATACAGAAAATTGCGCGTCGGCCGAAACCCGCGCGCACGATCGCGGAAGAAAGTATCGCAAGAAACCCGGATGGTTTTTGCGCACGCGCGCACGTCCCCGAGTGCGTCAAGCTGACGTTTCTTGTAATGTAAAGTTACGGGCGCTTTCTATTGTAGCACATCGCTCGCTCGCCTCGCGAATCTCCGTCATCCTGGTTTGCGCGGATGACATTTGAGAATGACAACATATAGACAACACCTGCAAATATACGTAATCTCTCCTATTTCCCGGGCTGGGCAACGCCAGCGAGTTTTCCCCCGGCAGTCATCGCGCAAAGACGTTCCTTTATACAAACGACGCATACGTTAATACAAAGCACTCGTTATCAACGAAAATGTTGCCGCGGCGAAGGCAAAGGGCATGTAAGAACATCATAAAATATCTCTCTGCCTCTCCTCCTCGCGCTACCTCCAAGTCAAACAACTTTAAAACGCGAACAAATGAAACATAAATAACAACGTTTCTTTTCATTTCGCCGGAGGGGACTTTGGAAATACCAGAAATGTGGAAACGCTTGCTCCGAGAAAGCTCCTTGAGAATGCTACCGTGCAATATGCGAGGCAAACATCGGTTTCACGTCCCGGCGTATCTCTTTTAGCGTATACATATATTTATGTCTGATATGCATCGGACAATGCTCTTCGAGGAATGCATCTACCATTCCGCGTGTACGAGCTGACATTTACATACCAAGAGAGATAGAGAGGTAGAGAGAGAAATAGGGAGAGAGAGAGAGAGAGAGAGGAAAAGGGAGAAAGAGAAACATCTCGCTCTCCGAGAGAGAAATTCGTGTACGAGCTACGCATCGTAGGCGTCTTGCTCTCGAGTCACACGATCGATGAAGTTCGTCTCACCGATACGTTACATTATTCGCCCCGCATTAATCCCTCGATTCACGACGCGAATCTCGATGTGCCGTCGTTACAGACATCGAGACCGTCGAGAAAGCGTATACGCCTCGCGAAGAAACATTTCGCACCGCCGGAGAAATGTCCCTCCGTATACGACCGGTGAAATACGGGCCCCCGGTGGATTTAATCGATTCGCCACATTAGCGGTACACGGTTCCGCCGCTATTAAGTCAGCCGAGCGAGGAGAGCGAACACGCGCGCGCGTGCGACTTTTAGCGATCGTCGAAATTCCATCGCGTGTTTATCACGGATCCGAAGGAAGAGAGTTCCTCCCCGTGTCGCTACGATACGCGATTCCGTGACGTGATCGCGGAAAAATCGGTAGCCGACCTAGTACGTGCGGCCGAGCCTAGATACGGTTTAGAAAGGCAAGTGATTCTTCGCGGCAAAAGCGAACCCCGCCTCGCCGTTCACTTTTCACCGAAGGAACCAATTCCTCCGGCTGCACTTCTCGGACTCTCCTCGACTCTTCTATCTATACCGAGAGAGCCTTTACTTGTTAAAACAAAAACTCAATTTTTCACGAGTTGTTTCGAATGTTTCTATATTCAAACTCTTGTGGCATTTCTCTCTCTCTCTCTCTCTCTCTCTCTCTCTCTCTCTCTCTTGCAGATAGTTTAGATGCAATTATTTTGAAATTCAGACTGTCACATTATTATTAGCAAAAAATAACTTAAAATAACTGATTTTTTATATCAATTTTAATTCCGTTTGTTACCTAAAATTGTACAATATTTTTCTACCTTACATTTTACAATTGTAAGTAAAACATTTTTAATTTAATAGAGGATATTAATTCTCTAGATAATCATGTCCTAATAATTCAAATTATTAAAATATTATATTTTGATAATAGAAATTATTAAAATTAAATTAAATCTGAATGATTTATAGAAAACATTTCTCATAGAATAATATTAAAAATATATATATAAAATATATATATTAATATGATTTTTACTAATTACATTTTTAATCATACTTTTCATTTTAATTAAAAAAATATATATAAATATATATTTTTAATTAAAAATATATATAAAAATATATATACTCTAAATTTTCTGGAGTGAATCTCACTTCAAAAGAGTGAAATCTCACTCCAAAAGAGCGAAAATACTGTCACTCGGCCACTTGAGTGGCAGTATTTTCACTCCTTAGAGTGAAATTTCACTCCAAAAAATTTAGAGAGTATAAATATATATTATCTCTTCACGAATTTTATACTTATTAATACAAGAGAAATGTACGCTGCAACAGCGAAGATTTCCTATATATTTGCCGAACATTTCCAAGTCTTGTTGATGTATCGAGGCTCAATAAAAAATAAACTCATCCCGCTACGATATTAATGACTGTCTCGTGTATTCTCACAGAACTCCAACGCGCCAATCATCGGTCACAATGGATGTCGAAACCGGGGCCATTTTGGCCCTGCAGATATTGGCACTGTGCTCGATAGTCGCAGCCCTGCTGGCTTACCTGATGCGACAGTCCAGGAATGCCGCCGACGAGTACGAGTCGCGTAACAAACGTCACGTACTCGTTACCAGCTGTGATACATGCGTAGGCCTGCAGATCGCCCTTGCACTTTACGAAGCCGGCTACAAGGTAATAACGGCCCGTAAGGGGTATACGTGTACCGTCATAAATTAATGGCGGCATAAACTCCACCGTACGGTTCGCCCCCGTTACGCTGCCAGGTCGCCGATATTCTCTCCCCCTCCCCCATCTCCCTCCCTCCTCCTCTCTCTCTCTCTCTCTCTCTCTCTCTCTCTCTCTCTCTCTCTGCGCGGCTGAATATTCAAAATTGAGATCGCCGGGCGCGCGCGAGAGAAAGAGAGAGCCGGCACTATAAATGCCGTAGACTGGCGCGAAGTAACGGCTCGCCGCTTTATTGCGTGGGAACTGCGCTGAACTTTTTTGTTGCTCAGCCGACGATTATCGGAAACGCGCATAAGCGAATCGCCGGCGAGACTTGCGTTATCGCGGCACGCCGACTATATGACTCGTTTCTCTCCGTTTCTTGCGATCCGTGTGATTACCGCCGGAATTGGGTCGAAGCTATTACTCGGACTGTCTCTCCAGTCAGCCCCACGACTGCATAAATCTCGAATTCATGTAGCAAGGAAAACCGCGTGTGTATATATATATACTCCGGGAGGAACGTTCATATGTGTCATCTTCATTTTTCTTTTTCTTTTTTTTTTCCGTGTGTGTCTATTCACGCGAAATGGAGTAGCTTCGCGAGTATATGCAGCTGTCAGCCGCGGTTTTGGGCACCTCCCCGTCGCGTCGGGCTTGAAAACGGATAGACGTCCGGATCATCCTTCGCACGTCCACTCTTTCCGCGGTTTCGCGGAATCTAAACGGCTAAAGTTGAGCGGCGGCTCTGCACCTACGGGCGGCGGTTTGCAACGCGCGACGCGACGACAACCGTTGAAACGCAATATCCCGCGGCCTTAACGTCAGAATCCCCATTATCCCTTCGAGCGTGCAACATATTTCAGATTGTCGGAGCCCGGGCTCCAAATTAGTTTCCTCGTGTCAAGGGAGCGGAACATTGGTGAGCCCTTAAATCAGTCTTGTCGACAGTTCCTCGACAGGTATTCACGTATCCCGTTCGCCCCGCTGAGTATATCGTGTCACCAACCACTCAAGAGTCGCCCGCCGCCGCCAAAGATTGCCGCTGAAAGATAGATACTTGCGGGAAAGTCAGATTCTACTTCGGGGGTAATAACTTGCGGGAAGCCTTCTCCGCGCCAATCTTGCGAGATCTTCCTCTCTCGCGAAAGGCCCGGAATCGAATAGCGATATTACATTTATTACATCTCCTGAAGATCCTTCTAACCCGGGGACGAGGGCAATCATTTCATCCCATCTCCGTAATCCATATACGTATATGCTCAGAAAAGTCGGCTAATAACTTACCGTAATCATTTCTCTGAAGATTCAGCGACAAAGTTAGCTTCGTCGTTTAATAATGCGCCTAACATTTAAATCGGCTTTTAACGTCAAAATACCCTCTGATTCCGCGTCAATTATATAGAGATCAATCAATCGGCTTACGTCGCTTACACGTCTTTATGTACTTTAATTGAACTGAACGACGGAATTTTCATGTAGTACAAAGGCAAAATTGATAATTGGTCATTTGCGTACGGATTCCAATTGCGGTTCGATTGTTTCACGTATTCTGAAATTTGAGCTTTGGATTACCTATTACCTTTCGTGTACCAAGAGCTGCATACGTCAAAGGACTGTCACCGATTTGCATGAATCTTCGTTGAAATTGATTTTAGCAATTAATAATTCGAAGCAAAATTAAAGAAATGTACCTAGAACTTCTAGACGGTACTTTAAAAGGTAAGATCAGTGTAAACTCAAGATCGTTATCGATATTAATATTATTAAATAAAATTCAAATCAAACAAATAAAAATTTTAGAGCTAAAAATTATTCTACACAATCTCTCGATGTGATATTTATATAACGGGATTGAAGTTAATCGATTGAAATTTTGTTTAGCAATCGAAATCTTAGTTAAACTTTATAAAATTTCTTCTGGAACTAGCGCACGTAAAAGAAGAAATTCGAGTTTTCTGTCCCGTATTTAAGATCCAGTTCATTAGCCGCACAATCGAGCCTATGTGTCATTTAACATGACCTATCAACGTCAAAGCATATCGCGCGCGGTATCGAGCGGTGCCAATATGGTGTGTAACGGAGTGGCACGTGGAATGTGAGGTTGCGGTGGCGGTCTTTCAAAACATAATGTACAACATGTCATGTTCTCCCCTGCGACAGGTGTTCGCGGGTCTGCTGGACCCAACGGGCGGCTCGCCGTCGGTCAAAATCTTGAAGGCGATCGAGCTCGAGCGGCAGAAAGAGGACGAGCCCGACGGTGCGAGCGACGGTGGTCCGCAGCAACCGGAAGCCGCACGTGCCCGCGGTCAAATCGTGCCATTGGAGCTGGACCCGACGAGGGAGGACAGCCTGCGCGCTTGTTTGGACGCCGTCAGGGCGAAACTTCCGGCCGGCGAGGATGGCAAGGATGCTTTATTCATTTAGCCCGGTTTCTTTGGCTTCTAACCGTGTTGAATCGCGCCACGGCGGTGAGAGATGACCGCAATACTGCAACTAAAATAATAAATAGAAAGTTAGGAATAACTAGCCTGAGAGGTGTATTAAATAAATAGACGGCGGTGTACAAGACTAAGATATTAACTTGAGAATATAATTAGCCTTCTCAAATTAGTAATTATTTTAAAAACACAATTTAATATTATATAGAAAGTGAGGGAGAGAAAGGAACAAAAACGATCTTTTGCATGGGTCTCTTTTGTTTTAATAGCAGTTAATAATTTCGTTTTAATAGCATTATAACGATTAGAGAAAGGAGAAACTGTGTAATATTCAAGTCTTCTTTAAGAACGCAAATTTTTCATTTGCGCTTCATTTCTCGGAATGAATTATTATTGGAACTAAAGAAACTCTGGCATTATACTCGTGTTCACAAACGCGGTAAATTGGAAAGGGAGTTTCCGAATGGACGAAAGTTCCAGTGTCTTTTTGATATTACTTATTTAAAAAAAAAAGCTTTAATCACTCTCTCGTATCAAGAAGATATTAGTGAATGTCACATCACGTAAGGCTATGTTAATGATATCTTCACATATAATCTGTGTAGAAAGTGAGTCATGTATGTAAATAATGCTTTTGACTGCTTTCCCTGCCTCTCTCTTTATGTTTTGATTTAATTTATAATTACTTCCTCGAGACGTTACTTCGCTGACCTGTTAAAGCCATTCTCTGGCTTCAGTATTAAAGTCATTGTCGAACATTAATTTCTGCTCTTTCATTTAAAACGTTTAGTTGCGAAATTTAATGGAGTTTCGCTTGCGCGTCTTAACAATGCAATACTGAAACAAGAAATAACTTATTTGTTTTTTATATGGTTTTTCCTTATCGTAATTTATAGATTGCGTGAGAAGAAGTATGTGTACATTACGTGGGCAATTACATCGATTTAATAGTGCAAATTATTAAAATTTATGATATATTTTACAAAAACAGTTGCTTTTTAGGCTTTATAAATTACAATGCGAAAAGTCCTCAATGAAACATCCAATATCATTTTCATATACAAATTAAATTTTTATTTTATTAATCACATAATTGCGCTGAAAAATATTAGATCGGTATTTCTTTTTGAAATGTAATGTTCAAAAAGTTCTCATAATTATTATTTCACGAATATCCCAACGTTGCATGACACACATTTAATTTCGTGTCGTTTAATTAACTGCATTAATTATGATGACTAAGCAAAGGACAAGAAAAATGAAATAATTTTTTGTGCAAATTGTAACGAGCGTCAGTTATTGCGTGTTCTCGAATAACGGCCAATATTTATTCAGCTATAGACAGGTTGAAAGTTTCTACATATTCAATTTCACTTTTATACGCGCGCGCGGCTTCGTTAGTTCTATTATTAGTTATCCCCGCGAGAAGAGCACCGGAGTGAACTCCGAGTAATTCATCTCGTAGTAATTTAATGAAATTTTGGTTATTGGAATAATGTTCTAGATATAGAATCAGTGCTGGTTTTAATAATAATTCAACCAGCTTGTTAGGTTCGATAAAATGCCCCGGGGCTTTATCGACGTCGACGATGGATGGACCCATCCGTAGGTGGAGCTATCGCGCGCGTACGAGAGATATCGGGGGAAAGTACGCGAATTAAAATACCACGATTTTTTTTTGCGGAAAGCGCTTAAAGGACAGACAAGTAAAATGTTCGAGTAAATCATCCGAAACTTTAATGCACTTTCAACTTCCTCTCCGCGATGATTCCAACGGGAGATTTTTACGAGACGAGTATATTTGCATTCGGATAGATTTGTCGTGCAATATATCTTGCGCGCATAATGGAAGTTCGCGTAATGGGAAAACACGAGGAAATAACATACCTTCGTCGCGCAGAATAAATAAGCGCAAACGTCATATTCGCAGATTTTCGCTATTCGTTACACACCCGCGAAACTGTCAAGGCGAAATGTTTTTCGTCGGGAAAAATGAGACGGGGCGCCGAATGTGTTTGTGTTTAGTTAGCCGCGCGGCTGGCGCGGACGGAGGGGGATGCACTTTCGTTTCGTAAGTCATATAACTTAACGCGATTGGGAGATGCAATTTCAAATGCTCGATATCACCGGGGGAGGGGAGGGGAGGAGCCGTAATTGCAGGCCATCTCACGCGGTATTTACTCGCGATTGCCTTCCGCTCGTTGTACATAACGTTTTCATCAGCGCGCGCGAAGCGAATTTAAGTTTCAACGAAACAAACTTCCATCTGCCCTCCGTCGCCATCCCGTCGGAAGACGATCTCCCTTCAAGTACGCTAAAGCGTTGAACTTTATTTAATTGCAGGTCTCTGGGCGGTCGTGCACACGGGCGGCTTGGTTTTACCAGGTGTCATAGAAAAACAGACCAGCTCGATGTGGGAGTCCATGCTGCGTCACAACTTGGTTGCTCCGCTCAGGACAGCCAGGGTATTCATCCCTCTTTTGCGCATCAAGAGAGGTTCGTTGAGTATACTTGTGTCGACACTTTATATTGATTAGAAAAACCATTATCTGCCCCGCTAAAAGACTAATATTTCTTTTTACTTCGAAGAGGATAATTGTTTTTCGGATGACAAAAAAAGTTTTGTGAATTACATTAGCGGGAAATACTGATGTTTTTAAATCCATACAAAAGTTGAAAATATTTTCCTGCGAAAATATAGTCTCGAGATTTCACCGTCAATCTAAGTTAATGAGAAATTTGCTCGCTTCTCGAGGAAGTGAATTGCTCCTTTGAAGGCTGCGGCAATGCACAATGGCAACGGAGTAAGAGCGCGGCGGCAAGACTATTCAACGATAGCGAACCTATATTCATTCTTTAAGCGGCTTATTGAAAGTGTTCTATTCCTTCCAGGCCGCATCGTTCTTTTGGGCGACTCCGAGACGAGCTACGGCGGCAAGGCGGGCGCCGGGCTGGTGGCGTTCAGCGCGTCCCGCAGAGCCGTGGAGGGTGCCGCGGAGGCGTTAAAAAGCGAATTACATTCATCGGGCGTCGACGTCGTGCTTCTCAAACCGCCGCCCGTGAATCCCCTCGTTCTTTATGCATCGCCCGTTCTCAAGACGTAAGACTCCACCCGACTATCAGTTTATGATGCCTTGTTTCCGCGGGGCTAACAAAGATGTTGAGTCGGCTGCAGGCGTCGCGCGCCCCGAACTTTTGCGAGCTGCAGTCTCACAGTTTCTGCTCTTCTTTCGAATATGTTCGCCCTTTCCCCCTTTCTTCTCTCTTTTTCTCTTTTATTTCTCCCATTAACAATATTACTGTCGGTCATAGAAAATGGACCATTATTCCATCATCAGATTGAAGACCATTGCTCTTCAGTCACTTATTTTTAGAAGCGTAATGATCGAAGAAGAATGACAAAAGATATTATTTTCTGTTACTAATTTAATTTTGATAAGTGAAGAAAAATCTCCCGTAATCTCGCGTCTAAATTAAATTACTTAAATAATTAAATTAGGTCACTGCGTTAGAGAGAAAGAAAGAGGGAGACAGAGAGAGAGAAAGAGAAAGAGAAAAATCTTCAATATTTTAGAGCCTTTAAAATTCATTCGTAGCTACCCTCTATGTAAATATAATGCACCACGGCTTCACGGTGGACTTATAATTGCTATGAACAGTGCTTAATTATTTGCAGGGCCGACGTGGAGTCTGGCGTAACAGTCACGGAAGGGACGTGGACCGCTCCGCTATCGATTCATTCCGTACAGAGCGCTCTGATTCCTGCGATTACGACGTCGTGTCCTCTAAGCGTTTACGATATGTCCGTCAAGCCGAGGCTCTTCTGTCGATAATCTCCACGTCCACGTTCGTGTAAACCGGACCGAAAGATCGCGCGAGACGTAATAATAACGTGGGGACTCCTCGAGTCGATGCGATACGCGGGAACAATGGGAACGTCGAATATATAATGGTACATCCGCGCATGTGTTCCGCGCGGCCGCCGCCGCCGTGCCGGTGTCATTTGCGCTGACGTGTCATCCCGCGTGCCCTAAAACGTCACATGCGGCGGATTTCTTTCTCGGTTTAGCAGGCAGGCGACACTTCCCGCGTGTGAATGATGTCATTTTTTTTTCATGCGTCCGTCCCGGTGCGGTATCAATTATGAATTCTCTTGCTTTTGTTCCCACGTCCATTTTTGTATCGCGCTCGCTGTCAGGCCCCGAGCATCGATTCGAGATGTTTAATAAAACAGCCAGTAATTTTCATCGCCACTAAATAAATTCGTGATAACTTAACTCTTAATAAACGCGCGTTTTTCATCCCTCCCTCCGTCGAGAGAAAAATCATTTGAACGCCGTTTACATTATAAAAATAAGATGGTTCCCAAAGTAACTATCACACAATCTATATATTTGAAAATTGCACATTGAAAGCCCGGTGGATTTTTCTTCGATTGCGATGTTTAAATATTTGGTTGTGTTGCGACTTCGCGAAATGTATACTTCAAGAGGTTGAAACGGAAAATGTGTTTTACTTGAAAGGTTCCGGTGGACGTGTGCGTAAAGTTAAAGGAGGTTTCTACATTTGCGCGTGTGTAAATATTAAATCTATAATATATATAAAATGCCTGAGTAACTTTCGTAGATTTGAAATTGCACAACGAATGTATTTTAATTACGAGTATTTTAATTTTCATAATTTTTTAAAAAGCAAGTGTACGATAAATAATCTTTTTCCCTACAATTATTTTTTCAAACGGAGTTGTCAATAAGAGTTTGCTTTTAAATGAACTTTTAATAACATTAATATATTTTATTTCTCTTATCCGCCTTTACATCACAGTTGAAGTGATATAAAAATAATGTGCGTAATATTTCTTCGTGTCTTCAAATCCACAACAGTTATTCAGCCGTTCCCGCTGGTAGACCATATATTCTATATAATTATATACGTCAACCCTTCATAAAAGCTATCTGTATTTATAAAGCATGATTAGAATGTGAAGCATCTGCCAATAAATCTATTTTTAGATAGAAACAATAGATTTTTCTTAATAAAAATATCGTAACGTATACATGGTGTAGTTGTATTGTAAGTTAAAATAGAAAGTGCAATATATCCTCTGCGATGTAACATCGATAATAAGTTTTGTATGTACTGTTTGTCAAAATATGTATAAAATAATATATGGAAAGAAGAAAAGCTGTGGCGATATCTCATTTTCCAACTTATTGTTTAACGGGAACATTCGAAATACGTGATACACATATCATAACTTATTATTGATTGGTCTTATGTCGAACTATAGTTATACGTAACTCATGCGTTTGTCCTACTTTTAAAACACTTATAATAACTTTAACGTAAGCGTGCATTTTCAATTTTAAATCTACCATTTTGAACAGGAAAATTGTACCGGCAAACGCGAGAGCTGTTGTTTAACTTTGCAATTACGTTCATTCCGTTAAATGGCAATTGTCTGTAACTTCTGAATAGAGTACGAGTACTAACAAAATCCGAGCGGAGCAATACGTACAATTTTGCGCGGAAAGTTTACCTTTTTATGTACAATAAGTTGCGCGGAAAGCACATTTTTATGTACAATAAGTATATTCAAAAACTTTTTCCAAAAAATTAAATTTTTTTTCTTATTAAAGTATTTCTCACGTGAGAACATTTCGGCACTTATAATTGAGCGTAACAGCACGGAAAGTATCAATTCGTTGAATTAAAATACCCCCCCCCCCTCTCTCTCTCTCTCTCTCTCATTAAACACTGTACGATACACGAGATATTTTGTAGAGATCCAATTCTGCCTTGCAATTATAATCTCTGCCCTACGGTCGTGATTATTCCGTTCGCGATACACATCTGGTAGTATAATATAAGGCTGCATATTATCTTTCGCGTCGGTGACGGTAGCTCCCATTCCACGAGCTTCGCTCGAATAACGAGCTTCATCGTGAATTATTAATTCGTACGTTGCTTAATGCGCGATGCGAATAATAAAATCTCGAAGTAAGATTAACGCGCTCGCGCGCGGCGCGTAATGCATATGCATCGGATGTAAGTAATATTGCTTGTTATTCCTGCTGTCGCGACTATCGCGCTTGGAAATTAACTGATCTGACTGCAGCCACCTCGGAGCTTTGCACCGCCGTGGAGCCGGGCGGAATGATGCCGCAGGAAAATTGCGCAGCGTAAGAACGAGTCGGATAATCGAGAAATCCGAGCGCGCGCTTTCTCCGTGTGCTATCCGGTGAGGGAACGAGCAAAAATCGCCGGACCACTGCGGCCGCGATTGCGTTATCTTTACGGCAATGCGGATAAAAAATGTTGATTGACTGTTTCGGCAATTGCGGCACGTGGCGAGCGGTAATTTCGCAAGATATCGAGATCACAGCCGCGTGTTTCAGAAAATACCAAAAAATGTATGTAATAATCGCTATACTACGATTAAATCATGCATGCAAGAGGAAATAGGTACACATCTTTTTGAAGTAAATATAATTGGCGTGTATATACAGATGTGTAGCGATCGTGGCGCAGAGAGATACACGTCTGCTTTCTGTGCCGAAGGTCCAGGTTTAAATCCGACCAGAAACATTGGATTTTTGTTCGATCGCTAGACAATGGCAAATCACTGAGGGTATATCATGAGAATCCCTCCAATTAGGCTATTTGAACCGATATTAAAATTGAAGATCCCGTATATCTGTGTAAATGGTAAAGCATTGTATATATACATATATACATATATTCTTTTTATTGTATATATATATATATATATATATATGTATATACAATAAAAATATTTATGTTTTCTTCATTTAATTTGCATACGCGCACTTTTAATAGAACAGAAATAATCAAAAGTTTGACTTTAACATAAGAATACAATTTTTTTGTAATTCTGGAATCTATTCTGAATTTTTAATTAATATTAGTGTGGATATTTTATTGCTACATTAATTAAACGAACATTTATATTTTAATTAAGTTACGTTATGTCAGTGACACTTAAAAAATCGACGTTCAGACTTTATTATATTTTTTATTACTGCCTTTATTTCAGAAACTTAGCCTTTATCATGAATGTTATTTCTCAAATTTACGAGAGAGAAAATAATTAGCCGACACTTCAGCCAGAAATTATCGACAAGCTCGTGAATAATTATGATCGAAATTCATCGCCTTGACAAAAGATATTGTTGTTAATTATTACGTTACAGGAGATATTTGACATACAATCTCATTGTTTACAATTCCATCGATGCCATATTTACATCACACCAGACGGAAAGCGAAAGAGAAAGAGGAAAAAAGACAAAGAGAATAAATTCTCACATATGTGTTATAGAGCTAGTATATCCAACTCTATTTTAATGATATTATTTAACAACTGAAGATTTTAATCTCTCATTCAAGTACTTTTACAAATTCATATCTAAATCTCCTATTTATCTTTGAGTGTCATAGAAAGCTAATGGATCAAGCCGAAACAGAACGTAAATATTAGTGCATATTACATCGTACATTTATTATTTCCAAGCCATTGCTCTCCCGGTCGTAAAATCCCGGACGCCAATTCGTGTCTGGCAGTGACGAAGACCGGGGATCGTACCGTGGTCGTTTTGTTTCAAAAGAATTATTATCATTTCTACGACCCGACGACGGTCGACACCTCTTACTGTGCAGAGCCGGGCCGGAATGGGACCAACCGCGGGGGGTACGACAAACGAATTAATGGTTAAAACGAACCGTTTTTGCCTGTCCGGGGGTGGCCGCCGCTATAAAACGATCCCGTTCCTTTCGTCCCGGTGGTAGTCCATTCGCGGTTTTCGTAAAGGAAGAAACATGGCTTTTGTGAAGGTAAACTGAAGTCGATAGCGCGGCGCATTCGATATCGTAAGTTGATACGCCGCGGGGGCCGTAGGCAATGTAGCGGAGAATATTACTGGGGCGCTTTGGCGTTACGGAAATTCGCGTTGTAGCAGGGTCGGACGAAGGCATGCACACGTCGCTTATAATTACGTATTCTTGCGAACAAAATTGTGGAAGGTGTTGCATCTTTTGTGAGCGCGTTACGCCGCTGACGTCGGAATAATTGCGCATCCCGGAAAGTATTAGCGTGGAAAGCGTTACAATGCGAGCGAGTTGCGCCGGGCGCTGGGTAATTTTTAGTTCGCACATACACACATAGCTCGCAGCCATTATGTAACGATTATATAACGATTAAACCGGAAATACAGCATTTTGCCGTTGCGAAAGCGTAGTATATTAAAATCTCGATATTGCATTACAAATTCAAACACTTAAATGGTAATTACATTAAAATTTTGCAAGTAATAATTATCGGTCCGCATTAATTAAAATTGTTGAAAGTATAATGACACTAATATTAATTGAGCAGTTATTAGTTCTAAATAATATAAATTGCTTTTTAGAAAATTCTGCGTTTATTTCTAAAAAAATAACGTAATTACCTTTAGAGATCAAGCCACAAAATACTTTGTCGTAATTAGGGAAATAGGATATTTTAAATTAAAATTATCAGTGTCTTTGTCTTTGAACATCGCATGTAGTGATTTCTTTTGAGTTTAAAATATGTCGTTCAATAAAAACTTAAGAGGGTATCGTTATACAATAGTCGCTTTAGCGAGAACAGGCTGCATAACACTATCCATCTTTATAAAACGTTATAATAAAGCTTTATAACAAAGACTTATCGATTTTTCGCTCTAGCTTACGCACAATATACGTATAATGTTTCTTTCCATTTTATTTTACGGGTTGATTATTGACAAGAGAAAAAATTAATCGTATCAAGTTAAAAGTAAAAGATCAATTGAAAATTAATATACTACAATTTAAAGCAAAATTATAAATGTAAAAAAATCGGAAAAAAGAAGATATTTCACTTCAAAAAATTTTAATAAAACTACTTATTTCAAGTGAAGCTACGAATTTTCTGAACAGCGCACTTTATCGTCCAAAGCCCTCTCTCTCTCTCTCTCTCTCTCTCTCCCCCTCCCCTTCCTTCCTTCTCTTTCTCTTTCTTCTCTCTCTTTGATATCCAATTTGCGGGAAGTGGACGGATATTAACCTTTCATGATCCGCCCGGGCAAAGAACTACAACGTATAACGTGAAGAATAACACGAAGGGCTCAGCACTTTTACCTGGCCGCCGGCGAAAGACGCGATCCCGACCTCAAATTCACGGCGATCGATCCAATTTCAAGTTTCGCCGATCCCATCGACCCGTAAGGGCGGACCTGCCGCCGCGCCGTGGCCCTCCATAAAACGAATCGCCAGAGCCCAGGACCTCCGCCGCCGCGCTGAACAAAGTATCACGCGGTCGTGACCGTAAAGTAGCGAGTGCGGAGTGTTTCGGAGGTCTTTATGTGGGCGGTAAAAGCGTCTCGGCGAGTCCGTTCTGGCGCACATATTCGGAACGGAAGAATAATGCCGGGGCTTTTTTCGGTAATTTTCTACTACACGGTGTGTGTACGCCACCACATACACACCGCAGCCGCGTCGTCGTCGGTGCGATGAAAATGAATTTTGCTTCCTGCGCCCGCGGTTTTTTCCTCTCTCTCTCTCTTCCTCTCTCTTTCATCCTCTCGATCTTTCCTCGTCCCTCCGTTTCTTCCCCTCCCCCTCTCTCTCTTCCTCGATTAGATTTAAGAGATTAACTTTTCCAATTATTCGCGGCCACCAATTTACCTTTAACAGCGAACAGTACTTCACGGGCGGCGCTGTCGGCCGCTTACACGACGCTCGAATGTACCTCCTCGCTTTGCAGGAATTGATTGTCTGCGTCGTCTTCGTCGCTGTCGTTGTTAAGAGCTTCCCCAGGATGTACGAGGAAAATGCGATGGGTGAGTGTCTCTCGCTTAATTCATGAAATCGGTCACTCGGTGGAGGTAATTACAGGCATTGGTGAGAGGTTTATCGATCCGCGCGCGATTATTCGTCTTGATACTCTCACATGTTATAAACCGCGGCTTGAATTAGATTGAAATTTTGTTAAAATGACAACGGATGCTATTATCGATTATTCAAAAAATCCGAGAATATAATAGTTTTATAATATATATGAAATCAATCACAGAGGAGAACAGCGGCGAGGATCGGACCGCGGATATAGATCGCAACGGACATGATCACGGCGGTCATCATGACCACGCGTACTCGTATCATCATTTTTTCGGACCAGTGGCAGGTCATCACGAGGAGATAGCCTGGAAAGATAAACACGGGCACCATCATCACGACTATAAGGCTCATCCTAAGTACAAATATTCCTACGGTGTAGACGATCATCATACTAAAGACCATCACGGACAGAAGGAACACCGTGACGGTGAGTGTACACATAAGAGTACCCTCGAGTACATTCTCTATCTAAGGCTTTAAGCACCTATAACTTTTACATTACATTAATATCGTTATCGCGTGTTATCCTGGCCGTTGCGGTTAAGCCGCAACTTACGACTTCTTCTTAAATAAAAATAATCGTCATTTTATTATTGCTGTCAATAGTTGCGAATAATGATCACATTAAGCTGATATTTTTGAATATTGATATCAAAGATTGCTGAATACACTGAGACAAATACTTGATAATAATCAAGCCCAGATGATAATTACTGAAACCTTGGTGAAATAATTTCAAACAAATGTTCGGTTAATATAATCAAAATTACTTTTGTAAATATTAATAATATATAGTAATTATTATCCTACGGCTGGTGTCTTACTATTATTATGTTTGATAATATTTATTTATTTAAATATTGCATTAATACATGCTAAACAAAATACATTTGGTAACTATTACTAGACTTTTTCTCAGTGTATCTTTGTATTTAAATTTATCAAAGATTAATAAATTTAATTGTTTAGATTCTCTTATATAAAATAAAATTCATTAATATAAGAGCTATACAAGGCAGACGCAATAGTGCGTGAAATTACAAAATATTGCTATGACGTAAGAATGTATCAATTAGAAAATTGATATACTCTTTCTTTCTAATATCACGTACATGTAGCATCAATCTCTCTTATTGACAAAGTATATTCATACAGCAACTCTAGACGTATCGCGCAATACTGATCCGCAGCCAGCGGGGGCAGTGAAATGCGATTCGATTTCGCGCTCTTAATTAGAATCTCGAAGTAATTGGATATCCGCGCCTGACCCGCCCTTAATTAGAAGGACCAAGTTCATTTCTTACGTTGCGGACCGTTGTAAATACATCACTTTTCCGGCGCGCCTCTCGCAAAAAACGCGCGGGGCAACCTCGCGCTCTCGTTCGTATTCGGCGTGCGTTTGTTAAATTTAATTGTGACGGATACAAGAGAGAGAGAGAGAGTATAGGAGTTTATTACGCATTCGTTGGGAAGCTTCTCTGGCAAAGCCGACGAATGAAATGCACGGAGCTTACGGCGAAGCTGTTCCGATACGGCATATACCTCGGAAACGCGCAACCGCCTACCGTAAATGCGAATTTAATTGGAACGTATAGAGAGATACACGAGTTTCTATTATATCTTCATTCAGTCTAAATACCATTCTTATCTCTATCTCCGTTTCGCATGTATAAGTAACACTCCGTAATTATTCCAATGAATATTATGAAGCTCGTTGATAACTTATGCCAGTCGAATTTTCACTTTCTTGCTATCGTCGAAAAACTAAAATATTTTTAATTTAATTTTAAAAAATTGTTTTTATATTTTCTCCTATGAAATTGTATATGCTTTGAAAAATATTTAGATATGCCTACAATGTTATATTTTTATAATTCTCTGTAAAAGAGAGTAATCATAAATGGTAAAAACCGATCTCATTGGACATCGTTGATTTCAATCAAATATACAAAAAAAAAAAATATGTATAAATATTAATTATCTCGCTTATGAACCATAGGCAAACATGTTGAGGGCGAATATCATCTCCACGAGCCCGGTGGCAATGTCAGGAGCGTAAAATATCATGCCAATCCTCACGGCGGGTTTTACGCCGAGGTTCACAACTACGGCGGGAACGACCATTCGGGTGGCACACACGGTGGTCATCATCGATAGTTGAAAAATATCACGATGAACAATTATCGATAAAATGATTAATGAGAAAGAGTGGCTAACGAGGATGACGTTGTAAGCGAGCCTGCATTCTGTACAAAACTCGATCGTAGCCAATATATTGTTAAATGTCTATTTTTACGTTTTACGAATTATGTATCGTTGAAATAATATTCTTGTAAGTTTTAAGTATTTTATCCGTTTACGTTATATGGTTTATTGTGTGTATCAATAAAAAATGTTATGTAACATAAGTCACGATCTACCTATACATTAGTTTACAATACAATAATATTGCGCACAAATATCTTTTAATTTTAAATCCTTTTATATTCAGTTATAATCCTTATAATTTTTAACAGCAAGCACTGAATTATGAATTATTAAAATTAAAAATTTTTGATAAGGAAAAAACTTTAAGTTTGTAAAAAAAATGTGTAACAGGGTAATGACGTAGATATTACGTCACAATGAGATTGTATCGATGCATAAATATCAGGACCTACTTTTTAATTTCAAAGGAGAGCAGCGGACTCTCCTTTGGAATTCATTCCTGGTTTTACCGCAATCGCGTGATCTCGTTTCATCAAAACGAGCGCGAGGGACCGCTTTGCTCGGTTTCTGCTGACCGAATGCAGCGAGTTGGCTGATCTCTCTCATCAGCACGCCGCAACATGTTTTTATCCAATCACGTTTTCCGCGCACCCTCTCGACCTCTCGAGTCAGCAACGCGCGACGAACCGACCCGTGATGCGGCGGCGGCGGCAGCGGCGGCGATTCGGGGTCGTCGGAAAGGCAAAGGAAGCGCAAAATTCACCGCGGCGGCGGGGAAAACGACGTGGCCCAGCCACGAGGGTGAAAAGAGCGAAGCCGAAAAATGTCACGTGCCTTCCTTGTTGAGCAATCGCGACGAGCGGGATTGATTGGTCCGTTCTCGGTAAGGAGATCGGTCGGTCATTGTGTTACTAACCCGGGTCCTGCCAATTTTGTTGCCAATTTCGTCGCCAATTTCGTTGCCAATCTCGCCAGTTTCTAACGCGGATAATCGCATTGCGCAAACGCTTCGACAATTTCTATTAAGTTCTCTTAGCGGAGACTACAGCTGTGTGTAGGGAATCCCTGCCAGGGATGGACCTCGGCGCTGAGGTAGAAATGTTGAATTTCCCGGAGCGAACCAGCCAGGGTTTCACATTTCGCAACGTTTCCGAGCTTATATCCTTGCTCTCGGTTTCAACTAACAACCGGTTGAATTATTATTTGCTATCATCGATAAAATAATAATAAGATAAGCTAAATAACATACATAGATGGGTATTAAGTTTTTCTCGCTTTTTCCAACTGTATGAAAATTTTATAAATGCAAGCATTCCGTAACACCACGTTTTATTATTCAGAAGTAATTTCCTTTTTTTTTTGCTTCTGCCAGACACATGAACGCTATTATATATCGCATGCAAGAACAGACCGTTCTAGAAATGGAGATTTTATATGTGATTTTACATATCTAACGCCAAGACTGCGTTGCACGAGCCACTACTCATCATCTAATTTTTTATACGTCGTGGTATCTTTTGAGCCAGACATGATCGCGACACGATTAGGTCGCGGAAGACTTATTAGCATAATTGGTATTCCTCTAGCGCTCTCGCTGCACCGTCCGAGGAATGTGATTTTAACTTGGATGCTGCGGTTGCTCATCAAGCACAGTTTGAGTAAGAACCATGCGAGAACCAGTGCCTCCTATAAGTCTTCATATACCTCTGTATTCTCTTTGAACCTCTACGTTAAGTAGAATGGAGCACGTTAATGAATGGTTCACGCTCCCGCATATACCTATCCTTGCACACATAGATAGCTATCCTTCGGGTGATTGCTACACGTTATGCTTATAAATTCTCAACTTTTAAAACGAGCAAATAAACAATCTTCTGGAAACGCCTGATTTTACGGAGAGATGCAATTTTTATTATTTCTTTAAGATAAATAGGATAGCTATCCTTCGGGCGATTGCTACGCGTTATAAATTCTCAACTTTGAAAACGAAAAAATAAACAAAAAGGGGAATTCCTAAATGCATTAAAGTCACAAAAAATAACCTGTTCTGTTATGTAAAGTCACCGAATCTTCTGGAAACGTCTGATTCTGCGGAGAGATATAATTTCTATTATTTCTCCAAGATAAACAAGATAAATTGAGAACATATATTTTTGGATATTAGACACGCCCTTTCATCCGGTAATTAACTCCATGGGAAACGGAAATGAGTTCACGCCGCTCCGTCTTAAGAGAAACGTGCAGATAAAGGGAAATGACAGTACATTTCAACAGATTGATAAGATCACATCAATATAGGATCAGATACGACGTAATCTGTCTTGGAGACGCTAATCTGCGTACGAGACTGATAGCTAGCTCAGATAATGCCGCGCATCCACATGTCGATTACGCTGATTGAGGCGCGAGGCGAGACGCGTCGACGGAAGACGCTGTTTGTGATTGCCGAGATTGTCACGCGTTCATAAGCGTGATGTCAAGTTCGCGTGACTTCGCGACGGAGGAAAATTGCGAGGGTCTCGTACTCCCCTTTAATTCCGAGCTACATCCGCATGCACCGTTCGAGCACGCCGTCATTTCTCGCCCATGACAGCGAATGGATATCTCCGTGTCCGATAACTCACTGTCTCGTACAAAGCCGCCGTAATGCCAAACATATTGCTTGTGGCCTCTTACCGTTGCGCGATCACTAATCTGTTGCAAGATCCTTGTTATCTATACGCTGCTAATTGGAACGGTAAGTTAAGGCTCCTGAGGATCAGTCGCGCCGCTCGATCCAAGGACTAATTTGGTTTCCTCATAAGTGCGACGCAGAGAAAAGTTAGAAAACGCAAGATTAATGCGAGGTAATCAATTTTTCGCTTGTATCAATAAAAAAAAAAAATTGTAAAAATCCATATGTCTGCGACTAGTGCGATTTGAAGCTTTAAACCTATATCCTGCTGCTTGAAATCGGGCAATAAATCCATCGTTTCACTTTCTCGCTTTATTAAATGTAATATATCGATAATTGTCACCCTCTGTTTGCTGCCCGATCGGTCAAGATTAGTACGAGCATCACGATATACAGCAATAAATTAGATGAAGTTATGCGCGAAGGGGGACGCAAATCGGATATCATTAATGCGATGCGATGTGCTCCCGCATGTATAATACGAGTGCGCGTAGCGATGTTCAACGCGCCACCGGGTCGATACAGTTGTTGCCGAAAGCAAATGGACGGATTACGAGTTAGCTACACGCGAGGCAGGCGAGGCTGCTCTTTTTCGGGCATGTGAGACGGCTCCAGGGATAGTTATTCCTGAAATCCGCACTGCCTCGTCGGGACTTTCCGCGAGATACCGCGCTGCACGCTCAGCCCGCAATTGCTTCAGCAATTATCGAAATCGCGGATCGTGTTGCAGAATATATGTACGCGAAAAATGGTCGAAACTCGGTCTGTCGATCTTTTTATGAAAATCGGCGGATGGAAATGGTCCGCCTTTGCCTCTCGCACCATCCGAGCCGCTGATATCGGAGAGCTAGACTTTATTTGCGCGTATCGGGTGTGCCCGCAACGCGCGTTCACTTTGCCTTTCCGCCGACACGACGCGACGCGACGCGACGCGACGCGATGCAACGTGGAGGCAGCGAGGAGTTACGGATGAGAAGGTTAAATCTCTGATATCAAGCGTATCACGTGCTTGAATTTCATCACGGTGCGCGTTACACGTGTAACGCATTTGTAGCGTAAATAGGTTATTGTTACGAGCGGCGCGCGAGTGAAATTTTCCGATAATGAAACTAGTCGTCGCGATTTGGAAGGCGACGGCGGCTATTAAACTAATGACAGTCGCTCGTGGCGATTTAATTATCAATTACTGCTATTTTTATCGCGGAGAAGTAATTGCTGCGCGTCTTTCGATTTATTTCCAAAATCACTGATCTAAAAATTGTAACCGTTGATTTAATCTCCGTCACGAAGATTAAAGCAAATCTGCAGAGCACACCGTTAATAAAACTCGTATTTTTTTCTGAATAAAAGTATGCTTTATAAAGGTTCCATATTTATTAAAATTATACTAATTAATCACTTAGTATCGTAAATATTTCATCTTTATGTAATCTTTCTGTTTCTGTTTTTCCACATTCTAATTATAATAAATAGAATAATATACTATATATGGCTCCAAATAAATAAAAAATTCACGTTGCCAATATGAGCCGTTATCGGGAAGTGAAAAAATAATTTCAATTTAAATCATGAAATGTCATATAATCAATTGCATAGTTACACACGATATACTTGAATCAGACGTTTCAATCCGTGATGTGATCCTCTTCAGTGAATAAATTACGTTTCCCCATATGGTACCCCTCCTCTCACACGACAGTCAATCAGTAAAATGATCATTAAATCGGAGCGAGTAAAAAATTATTGTAACTGTCATAGCTCAACCAGTTCCGATTCCTTGTTATCTATGATTTTAACTACGGACTTTCACTTTTATTTAATTATCAACTTTTACTCGCTCCATATTGGGAAATGTAATTTATTCACTGAAGAGGATCCACATCACCGATCAAAACGTCTGATTTAAGTGTATCGTGCGTATGTACAAATTGATTTTTATCATATATTTGTATCGTGCGTAATTATCCCAAGTAGCAAAATGACATCAAATGACGTTTCAATAACTTATTGAGACGTTAGAGAGTTATTAAGATGTCACTTGGGCTGAATTAATTATACATGACATTTCATGGTTTAAATTCCAATTATTTTTTTACCCCCCGACAACGGCGAAGGTTCGTATTGGCAACGTTTTTGTGAAATTCTAATTATAACATTTAATATTATTATTAAAGCAATAAATAAATTTGTTGCAAATTTCCGTTGCAAATTTAATATTATTTCCATTATATTTAACAGACATATATTATCTATTATATTCCTATTTCTATTACATATAATACTACATTATTATAACAATAAATAAATTTGTGTCGTTATTTAACCCATCCATTTTCTTCAAATACGCCATAAACGTTTATTTTAAAAACTAATCCAATCCGCTTATAATCGTGTAGAAATAAATGAAAAATTTAGATTTCTTGAAGAAACAAGGAGATTCAGTACACACATACATACATATGTATACCGAAAAAGTTAATTTTCTTTATAGGTCTCGAATGGTCCATTATCGTGTTCGAATTCTGTCGTCACGCGCTTTGATGCTCCGCTACGATCGCCCAGTAAAAGCCAACCGTTCCGAGACTTTTGGGGAAAAAAAAACTCGTCCGTAACGCAATCGATAGAGCGAAATCGATTGTTATTTCAACGAGACGGGCATCCCACATGCGTGGCGTTCGGCTATAGCGGCGTTTCATCGCAGAAGTGCCCAATCTTATGCATAGGAAAGCGATTGGTTCGCGTCGTGTTTTTGTCATTCGCAGGGAACCGTTCTGTACGTCCGCTAAATAACGGTGGCGAAATTCTCCCGGCAAAAATGAATGGCGCGCTGGTGCGTGCTATATAAACTTTCATTCGGTATCGACAAAAGTGTCATTCGTATTTTAGGAATCGCGGCGAACATGGTCGGAAGCACGATCACGAAGGTATCCGATTTGAAGTTCAATACGTTCGTAATTAATCATTGTTACAGTCCAACTGTAATGTACATATATTTTTAACTCCATTTAATTTTTAATACTGCATGAACATTTCGTAAATGATGAAACAAAATCTTTTGCATAAATTCCTATCAATGCTAAAAACATGAAGAATTATTTTCTTAGGTTAATTGTTTTAATAAAGTGTTCTCGACATTTTCGCATTGTTTATACTTTTAATGTATAATACTAATGTTTAATATATTTCATGTTTTATATATTTTGCTGCAATATTTCTCATCAAATTCTAATGTAAGCTTTTTATCAGATCATAATAACTAATTGTTTATACCACAGCTGTCTCATATCGTTAATCCGTTAAAGTAGAAATGCTCCCATTCACAGTCGTAGAAAAAAAATGCTTTTGAGTGCAAAAGTCTAAACTTCGTTCTATGCCTTTTGTGCGGGAGTGTATGTAAATGGCAACAATTTGTCAGCAGCTCGCCCTGTTGTTGGCTGCATTGGCCCTTGCAGAGGTCCAAAGCGGATTGGCAGGACACGCGCACAGTTTCGCGCGCTTTCATGGACCAGTCGTAGGGCCCGGCCACGAAGTGGCTGTCCACAATGAGCACGGCCATCATCATATAGACTATGTCGCGCATCCCAAGTACGAGTTCGCGTATGGAGTCGAGGATCATCACACTGGCGATTATCACGGGCAGAAAGAATACAGAAACGGTAAGCTGAATCCCCTAATTAATATAAAATTGCAAATGGCAAAACATCCATTAAACGCAGCATTGAAGAGCAAAAGTCCATAATTATAAATTCAATATTATTTGTAAGCAAATATTTAATAGTTAAATTATATGCTAAAATGATTACATTTGTGTTGCGCAGAATTTGTAATTTCTTCATGTTATATTCTTTCTATTAAGGGACAAAGTAAACGTTATTGTTTAACATATACCGTTAACTGTATTTCCAATTCAATTCTTTTTTAACGATAAATTGAGCTTTGTAAATTATTCATCAAACCTATTAAAATTTATGTAATCATGCAAAGAGTTGTTGAATATTTTACAATGCCCCGCGCAACAGCGTGGATAATTTTGTGGTTTAAATGTTACCGAAAGTTTCTGAAAAATTTCGATAAAAGTTTGTCTGACGGATCTTCACCGCGGAACGGGGAAGGAGGGGGGAGCAGATATTCGAAAGCGCAACTCCTCTGAATCACAATAAGCTAAGCGTAGAGCCGTGCGCGTTTAAACTTGTCGACAGAGTGTTTTTTTTCCTCGCCACTCATAGTACTTTTTTTTATTTTTGCACAGTAGTTAAAGATTATAAATGACGGGATCAGATTACACGGCGGTATGCTTCGGTGTGCTCCATTTTAATCAAACAACGCGGCGGTAGTCATATTGACGTAACATAACACCGCGGCGTGTGCATTACCGTAATATCGATGACACATCCGTTTGTTTAATTCTCTACAATTAATGCACGTCCACGAGCGATCACGACCACGAGCGATAATCTATCCCGGTCCGCATATTGATGCAAGTTTTTTCTCGTTTGCAGGAAAAGTGGTCATCGGTGAGTACACCGTCAAGGAACCGGGCGGTAACATCAGAACCGTGACCTACCACGCTGATCCGCACGGTGGATTTTTTGCTCACGTCCACAACTCAGGCGGTAATAACCATCACGGCGGTACATACGGCGGTTACGGGCACCAGTGGCACCATTGAGGGCATCAAGAAACCTAAGTGTGATATATGACGCTAAGACGCTTAAGGGCCACAGGTCACTTCTCGCCTCGCGTTATAATTGTTAAATAAATATTTGCTGTTTCTCAAAATTTACAGCGTGCTCCGCTTTTATTTTCATCCGCCTACCTCGACTTAAAAAAAAAAAAAGACAGAGACACGTGGAGACGAGGACTATTTGTCGCGTAAAATTCTCTAATTATTAATGTTACATAACTGTAATTAAAATTTTTTCTCTAATTCTTTTTACTCTGTGATTCCAATTAGAGGCAAGTCCATTATGTTTTAGCTCGCTCTTGAAATATTAAATGAATTTTTATGAAAAGTTTTTTTTTCAAGAGAGACTTTATATTTGTTCTTTTGTTGGGTAAACCTAAAAAGATAGACATACCGCGTGCTGCTACATCAAAATGCATGGCGTATAAAATTACAAATAGAATTCTCCTCTGAAACAACATGAATTATACATCACTTAAAGTGGGCTTTATTATGTATATATATCATATATTTTAGAATTTTCGTCCCGCCGCCACGGCCTCGCTTATGTAATCGAAAGCGTTATTACTTACGGAATAGCAACGGCGATTCGGAAGTGTATAGGCAGAACAAATAAATGGACAGATTGCGTGTATATAGGGTCTAGCTCAATGAGCGAGCGAGGTGTTCTAAGCTTCGGCGAACATATTGGGTCACGTATTGGGACCGGCGCGATCGCTATCGCGCGAATAGACTAGCAGAAATTGAATTGCACTTGCAGGAGGCTATACGTGCCATTGAATAGTGTGTAGCTCACCATTATCGCATTTAGAAGATATATGCTAAAGGGGCGATTTAAGTAATTCAGAAACTCCGTGACAAGTTAGCCGTCGTGCTTTTACGTCTGAGGAGACGTCTGACTGTTTGCATTAAATTAGCGAACGTTTAAGGAGGATACTCTGCGAATGAGAACGATTTAAATTACACTTTAATCCATACTCCGTATTATAGGCTTGATAAATCTTTGATACAGTATCGCTCGCTAATTCCTCGGTTAGCAAATTTCTTTGTGAACATTCCGTAATTATCTTTAACATTTCGCGTAGTTGGCTAGCGGATCTAGTTTATAGGACCCCCTGCGAGTTAATATTCGCACAAAGGGAAGCTCTATAATTATCGACGTGACGTTTCAAAAATAGTTTAAAAATCAGCCTTGAGAAATAATGAGCCCGTTAAGTGGTTAATGGAATAAATATTTATGCACGGTGTAGGCATAGCTAAAGGATGCAATTTTAGTCGCTGAAGCTTCGCTTAAAAGGCTCGAAATTAAGATGCTGCTCTTTGACTCAGAAGAGATACGCCGCGCCGGGAAAGAGTGCCGTTTTCTCGAGGAACGTGAGCGAAGCCTCGAAACGTCGAGAAAGAGAGGAAGAGCGCTATCGGATGAGAGCGTAGCTGTGTGTGTGTATTTCGCGTTTCAGACAACGTATTAATTTTTCACAGGGCACATCAGAGATGCGAGCGAAAATTAACCTGGCGCATGCACCATCGACTCTCAAAGGCAAATATATTTTGTGTATCGAGCGCATAAAATGCGTAAAGCGCGCGACTCTGTGAATGAAATGCTCGGGAGGAGGGAGGGGGCCAGGATGAGCCAGCACCTGTTTACAAATTCTTTTGAGAATGCGGTTAGACTGATTATTCTGCGCGCGAGAAGCGGAGCACGAAAGAATAAATCACGCAGGGCCGGCGAATGCACGGCGTGCTCGAGCCCCGTATATTACGCGAATAATCACGATTGATCATCGCGCGGGGCGGAAGAAAACTGCGGGAGATGATATATGAACGGCGAAACGTACGGCGCGCACGTGGTTTCAATGATTCCATTTTACGCGAAACGATAATACGCCCAAGTCTCTTCCCGTATCGAAAGACTCCCTTGCTCTCTTCCTTCTCTTTCTCGCTTTCTCTTTTATTTCTTCCTTTTCTTCTTTTTCCTTTTTATTTTACACGATTTACTGCGCTTTAGGGCCGCGGTTAGGGAAAGGTCTGCGTGCTTTCTGGTTCGCCCTCGCTCGCGAAAGTGACAAATGAAATTTCGCGCGTCTGCATCTTCGCCACGGAAAGAAAAAAATAGAACACAAAATTACTTCCAGAGATTACTTCATCGCCAACTCCGCGAGAAGGATAATTTTATTCGTCGGCGTGTGTTATTCCGGTCACACTGCCGTCCTGCCTTCCCTTCCGATTTACTCGAACAGCCTCGACGCTGTCTTCTGCGAACACCAGGCAATCTACAGGGCTGGGATCGCATTGTCTAGGTAGGGTAAATTCGAAAGGGACGAAAATAGTATTAGCGGCCATTATTCGCGACGAAGAAATGTTTGAATCCGACAATTTCAGAAAGCTCTCTTGATTACGTATTGTTTTGCGGTCCATATATTATCTATCTCTTCTATTTATTTGCAACAACAGTGTTGCCACAAAATAAAAAATAATACCTACATCGTTAAAACTAAAAAAAAAAAACCTTTGAAGAAGATAAATAATCTAAATTAAAACGCGTGCGCGTACGAGAGAGAGAAATAATATTTGTTTCAATGAATGTAAGAAATTTTCTTAAAACAGCGATATAAACATTTTTAATATTCATTTCTCATTAAATACCTTATTTAAAATACTGTTATAAATATATCGCTGAATTTGAAGCAATTAAAATTTAATTTATTTATAATGCACAAAAGACAAAGATAACGACAAAAACGACGAAAACAAAAACGCTTAATAAACGCTTAAAATTATAATATTGCATGTACTGTATGCTCAAGCAATCAGGAGAATTTTTTAAAGTACATATAGCTTAATACGTTTATAAATGGCTTTTATGTAAGATCTTTAATTTGGCCCTGAGAGCACAGGGCCATAGCGCCCTGTCAAGCGTAGCCACATTCAGACGTCGTCACGTAAGGGACGGGTTGTCGGAAACAGCCGGTGGCAATAATGCGAGATGGACGTGATAGGGTGCGATCGATTTTCTCGATCTCCGGGGGAACACGGGCTCCTTATTATTCCGACTGAGGCCGAGGTACTCCCAAGAAAGCGTTGTTATTCGATTCCGCCCGGCGTCGCTCATTCTCTCGAATCCGCAGCCGCCGCCGCAGCCAACCAACCCCCCTTTCGCCTCTTATTTCCTTAGCCTACTTCGTGGCCGTAAAAATCCAATTCATCCCGGGACGCCGGACAGGAATAAGAGTATTCCGAGAGTATTCTATCGTCGTATCGTTGCCGTCGTGCACGTTTCGTACGGCATAACAAACCGCCGTGCGGTCGAATCGAGTTATCCCCCCACCCCTCCTCAAAGAAATTCGGGCGATCGAAAATCGTTGACGTCAAAAGGTATCCGGCGAGAGTTCACCACACGGCTATAAATCTATACAGGGTGTACAGTAAATCGTGGCACAATCGGCGAGGAAGCGCTTTCTCGTGGAAGCAGCTTAAAATCGCAAGATAAATTTTCTTTATTGACTCGTAGAGAGAATTTTCGAGGAAAATGTTAATCTTGAATGTGAAAGTTGTGGCGTCTATTTAAACATTTTTCGTTTCGTGACAAAATTTTACACGGAAGAAAAAAGTAGATAACATTTTGAAAATTTACATATCAAAGTTACAAGGAATCGCGTAACTATTTGTTTTCATATAGGTCTCTTTTAACTTCTGTCTGCGTCTGTCTCATTATTGATGCAAAAGAGATGCTGTTATCACGTTTCAAAATCATCGTCATTCAGAAAACGAATCTCTAGGTCTATCGTCTAGCGGGGGGGAGGGGGGAGGGAGAGTGGGAGAGTTTCACAGTTCGTCGACTTAAAGTGCCCTCACAAAAAGACCATTATAAATTCCATTAATACTTGCCGGTCATTTGAGCCGAGCCGGGAGTTTAATTATCTTGTGGGCAGCCTCCTCCATTCGCGCGGCGCTAAAGTAAAGGGGGACGGTACGCTGAATTAAGTAAGACTCGATAAAGCGATCGTCAAGAATTAACAGGTCAGCTCGCGTTCCCTCGGTAGAGGTTACTTTTCAATTTACGACATATATTACCGCGGCTTTTTCGACACCGCCATACGTTAACTTAACTGTGGGTTATAAATCAGACACGATTCTTTAGCTTTTACGGTCGAAGATTTACGATCGTCAGCGTTTAATCTTGGTAGTGTGAGAATCGACACTTGATGGTGCCAAACCAATCAATTTAATTAACAAATGACTGTTGATTAATATTTAACGACGACATTTCAATCAAACAATTTCATGTTTCATTTTTTATATTCTTCAACTTTCATATCTTTTCGTATTGTTTAATGTCTCTTAATATTATATTATATTAATATATGCGAATATATGCGAATCGTTTATAAACTTCTTGTGATAATTGATACATTTGAAACAGTTTCATTTCAAATAGCGAGTGAAAATCAATACTGCACACCATTATTGCAATAACAACTATAAAGCATGCTATTTGCAATGGTTGTAAGATGGATAAAACCAACAACATGCAATAAATAAAAAATGTGAGAATAACCTCGACTCTCGTCTCGCCGAAAGTTCTTAAAAGCACTTCCTATTTATTAATCCAAAGAGTCTACCTTTCAAACGGTACATAAAGTCTGACGGAGAAAGAGAGAGAAAGAGCACGCTGCGCAAATATGTTTATAAAGAAAAAACTCTTTTTGCATGCTTCATGATGGCGCGCAATAGCGGCTGGCGGTAGAGATGTAAATAGAAAAAAAATTAAAAATTGTTTTTTTTTTCAACTATCTATTTAATACCTATATTTTACTTAATATAAGTTAATTTTTCAGGATTTTTTATTTTATAGATAGTAGATTTAAATTATCATAATTTTAACCTTTACGCAAAACGAGAAAGCCAATATATTAATTCTGAAACATATTTTGAAGAAAAGACTTCAACGAATAATTATAATAAATTCTATTTAAGGAAAAGCTGTTTAGAAAAAGAATTACAAAGATTCTTCTTTTGTAAAACTTAAATGTAGATAACATTAAAATTAATTATATAA